CTATTAGAGTGTTTCCCCACTTAGAGTCCTCACTGTAGGTTCATAAGTCACATGATTCCTTCCAAATCCAAAATTCTATAATTTTGGGACCCTCAGTCCGCCCCAAGAACAACCTCCATCCCTCCCACTGTGCATTCTGCCATTTTTATTTCACCTCCCAATGTGCAACTGGGGACACCAGATCCCCTGCTTCCAGAGAGTCTAACCTCCCACTGTCCTGATTGGTTGTGGCCTCTTCCCACTGCCTGCAATCCTCACACTGGAATCGAACCCACAGCTCAGAGCTACTGACAGAAAACATCCAACGTGGATATTGTGTAAGTAGTTTGAGGGGTAGTTCATAAGGGCTTTAAGAGGAGAGGGAAAAAGCCTGCGGGAGCCCCATGGGTGGGTGAGTGGTCACGAGGCATCCTGGTAACTGCGGCTTTCAGTGTAGCTGGCCCATGGGCTCTCACACCCATGGCGCACACAGACTCCCGACACAGCACACCGGGCTACGTGTGGGGCACTGAGCAGCCAGTCCACGTGGGCGACGTTCTTGAGGCCCCATCTCCCAGATGGAGAGCGTTTTCCACAGCCAAGTCTCGCTCAGACCTTCCTGCAGAGAAACTGGATACAGCTGGAGTGGACTTGTCAGCAATGGACCCTGAAGACTCACTCCAGAAGAACAGCGAGAGCCTGACTGAGAAGCAGGACAGAAGCTGCTCTCCCCCCAACGCCTGCTCCAGGGTCTGTGGAAGGGGAATCTCTCTGCAGTTGGCTCCCCCTTGCTGACTCCCTCCTGACCCCCCCTGGACCGGCTCCTCTGGCTCTGTTACCCTCTCAGCTTCCCTGTCAATGGCCATATTTGCCTCCCTGTTCTGGTAAGAGACTTCCCTACTGCTCCCGGGGCTGAGAGGCATTTTGGGAAGTGTTTGAGGCAGAAACATTGATCTCCCAGGATAGTCAATGGATTTGTGGGAAACAGCACAGAATATGTGAAATGGAGCCCCGCTGGGGAAGCAATGGCTTATGGGTGCTATACTGTGGAGTTGACCCTGGTGATGCTTGGGAATGGGAGGGGCCTAATGGGAAGAACATGGGAATCAGAGCCACACAGATCTGGGTTCAAATCCCAGCCATACCCGTTGACATCCATGTCACCTTGCTAAATTTACTTAACCTCTGAGCCTTAGTTTTCCCAATTTGTCAGAGGCTGTCAATACCACCTGCAGATTGTTGTGAGAATTAAATCATCACATATCTGGCTCAAGGTCAGACCTCACAGAATGTTAGTCTCTTCCTCCTGCTTCTCTCCAACCCCCCATGCCCCCAGCCAGCAGCCACCATAGCAATAATACACACACACATTCAAAACAATAGAGTCTGCCTCTCAAAATCCTTGCCAGAAAAAATGTTTGAGCTTTTGCTTAGAAGTCATTCTGTCAGCCTAAGCGAGAGTGATTCTCAACGTTTCCGCGTCAGAATTGCCCTGGACGCTGGTTTTAAAATGCAGATTCCTGGGCTGCATCCCAGACCTCCTAAATGGAAAGGAAGGGGGGTTCCCCAGCAGATTCTGGCGTACACTGATGTTCAAGACTAACCCGCCTGATGCTGCTATTCTTGAAATGACAATCTCCAAAGATGTTTCTACCCCTTACCCAAGGGGGCGTCGGATCCTGGAACAGAAATCCTGGAGATCCTCAGAGATTCCTCTGGACCCTTTCTCTCCTTGCTGAGGAGGAGAAGAGGCCCAGAGAGGGGAAATGGCTGGTCAAGGGCCACACAGTGACGCAATGGCAGATTGGAACTTGTATGCGGGCGTCCTGATTAAAAGCTAATGCTTTTTTGAACAAAATAGGCTTTCTCAAGTTTACAAGACTCACTCAGGTTTTATCAAGTGACAGAGAGAAGGAAGGAAGATCAGGAAAGCATCTCAGCAGGGCCTCGTGCAGTGCTATGCGGGGTACCACTGTGGCTGGGCTGCGAGCCCCTCCAGCTGCTCTGGCCACAGTCATCATGCCATAACCTCAGGCCCAGGAGCTCCTCTATGCACAAATATTGACCTCTCCCTGTCTCTTTGGCATCTGTCTGCTTCCTCCTCTCCTCCTCTACATCTGCTGTTTTTACATCTTGGTGAGTTTTCCTTCTCTCTGTCTCACATTCAAAATTCACTAAAGAGGGATCTCGTTGACTTAGGCAGGAGCCATCCAATGCGGAGCACAGAAATGGACAGGTCTCTCACCCAGGCCTCCTCAGAAGCCACTGATCTTCCTTATGTCCTGCCTGTTGATGGTTGCCTCTGGAGGAGACCCAGACCTCCTCACCAAATAGGAGTAGCCAGAGTAACAGGGTCATCTGACCCAAAGTCTGGAACTTGTGTGTAAAGAACCACTGTGACCTCTTTTCTCAGAAGGGAGGTGAAGGTATGGTGTTTGGACGCCTCTCCAGTCCGTCTTTCCCCTACACCTGAATTCTTAAACGAGCATATGGGATGAGGCTGGGCTCTTGAAGGAACAGATGGCAGAAGGTGGAAAGTGGTCTGGAGCCCCGGGATAGGATTGCCATATTCAACAAATAAAATGCAGAGCATCCAGTTAAATGTGAATTTCAGATAAACAATAAGCAACTTTTGAGTATAAGCCATGTCCCATGCAATATTTGAGACATACTCAACAATTTTATACTAAAAAAATTATTCACTGCTTATCTGAAATTCACATTTAACTGAGTGACTTGCATTTTATCTGACAACCCTCCCCAGGAGGGCAGGGACCAGGTCTGTTTTACTCGGTGTTGAAGCTCCAGGATCCATACGATGCCTGGTATATAGTAGACACTCAGTACATTCTTGTTGAAATATTCAATTGTTGAAGAAGGCTTCTCAGAGGTCCCTCCCTCCCCACTAAGGGTACACATATCCCCCAGGGGCGAGCTTTGAACAGGCAAATTGACTCATTCAATTTACCAGACTAGAGCACTTAGCTAGTGTTAAGATCTGTGCTAAATAAATTAGGATACGGAGATAAATAAACTATGGCTCTCATCCTCAAAATGGTAATTCACCAGTAGGAGCAATAGATCTAAACAGAGAATTACAACAGAGTGTGATAAATCTGGACAATAAAGGCCATAAGGCCCCGTTGTATCGCCAAAACCAGCAGCATGGCAGGCACTCAATAAACAGTAGTGGAATGTAATGAAGAGACGAAGAGAGGAACAACGTATTGTGGGACCGCAGACGTGAGGTGACCAACCAAGGGAGGTGCGATGGTGAGAAGGGTTGGCTCACTCCAGGGAGGAGGTGACGTCTGATGTGGATCATGATGTGGGAACACAGCAGGCAGATAGAGGGAAAAGAGCATTCCTGACCGAAGAACAGCGTGAAATAGGTATAACACTTCAGCGAGGAGGGAATGATTCACAGGGGCAAGAGATGAGGTCAAAAAGGTAGAGAGCCTTGAGTACATGCCAAGGAGTTCGAGCTTTAACCTACGGGTAATGAATGGTCATTAAAGACCATTAAAGCCTTAGCATGCAGGATGGACTGTGGTAGAAATAGACTAGAGGCCGGAACAGCAATGAGAAACTACTGAAGTAGCCTCGTCTGGAAATGATGGAGGCCTAAACTGGTGGATTATTCAGGGAATTAGGAAAAAAGCCTGCAAGGCTGAAGCCGTGTCCTGGAGGACTCGCTGTGAATGCCCTCATCTGTCCCTGCCCAATTCCCAGGCGGTGGGAGGGGAGGCTGCCGCTGAGAGAGGGAAATCAGGGAGGAAGGGGAGGTAGGAGGCAGCCCACAACGAACTTCCTTCACCTCGCCGACTTCCCTAAGGGGAGAGCAGTGCTAGAGGAATGGGAGGGTGGCTGCCAGCCCCTGGCTCTTCCCTCCCGCTGCTGGGTTGGCACAGCCCAGAGCTCTCTGTGGTCATAGGTGGGACCTTACCCTCAGTGGGACCCCACGTGCCCAGCAAGCCGTGCTCCCTTCTGACGACAGGAGGTTCAGTCTCAGGGTGCAGCAGCCCTCTCCTTCCTGGAGATGACCCAAAAACAGGTTCCAGAGAGATCATCAACACTTCCAGCCGGAGGTGGGCACAGGAGATCAGCCAGTTCAGTCCCTAGGAACAGGCCCAGGTCCCACATCTAGGCGCATCCCCCACCACCTCTCAGGTGCCCCTTAGGGCATCCCACTGCTCCATTTTGCCCAGTCTTGGAGCCAACAGACCCTGGGTGTGGAAGGCGTAGAGTTCGGAGTTAGACTAACCTGGGTTCAAACCCACCCAGATATGTGACCTTGTGCAAGTCACCTCCCTTCTGTGAACATCAGTTTCTTCGCTTGATAAATAACACAGACCTCACAACCACCATGAATTAAATAAAACACCCATACGAGCACACTCAGGACAGTGCCTGGCATGTGGTTGGAATTCCTGTAACTGCCTGTCTCCTTCACTCCTGAACTGACAGGGAACTTTATCTGTAGCCTAGAGGACAGCCTGGCCCTTCCTTTATTCATTCACCCTACTAATAACTCTGTGCTCTACTACGTGCCAGCTCCTTTCTAGGTGCTGGAAAAGCAATGGCAAATAAAATGGATAGAATTGCAGCCAGCACGGAAGTTCTACTCTCCTGGGGGAAATAGATATTAATTAATGATCACACAGATGAAAGTACAATTATACCAACAATGAGTACCATGAAGGAGGGGCACTCACACTCACCTAGTATTCCAAGGACTTCCAGAGATGGCGCCTGGGGCTGGCACACCCCTGACATGGCCCAGGCCAGCGGAATGCTGGAGGCCTTACTTTCCTGTTAACTGGCTTCCCAGAATCCCCTGTTCCCAAAAACAAATGTATTCAGAATAGGGAACTTGGGAGGGGAAGCCTGGAATGCTCCCCGATCCAATCCTAAACCAGCTTCCCCAGAGCCTGTCCCTACCCCAAAACAAACAGCAGGCTGCCTCCTCAGCAATGCTAATCAGCCTCCCCAGGGAAGACAGATCCTGCTATGGCTCCACCATGAAACTCTTCACCGTCCTGCTGCTGGCCAGCTTAGTCTTCATCTCTCTCGCCATCCTTAATGGTGAGGCTGGCTTCCATCACACTCCTCTTTGTCCCCTAGAGGTCACTAAGCTGTCAGCTGGAGAGACCTCAGCACTGGGAAGGTCTTTCCTTAATCCTTGTAACGTGCTGTGTGGACAGGTAGGGAGATGCAGAACCAAAAGTCAACCCCTGGGATGACTTAGGTATGGAGGCAGGGGACATGACCCCCACAATACTGCACCCTAGAAAGCATGAGGCTGGGGCCAGAGGGGCCAAACTGGCCCCAGATCAGGGCAGACTATGGGTCAACAGAGACTCAGATTAGATTCCAGCCTCTGATGATGCTGGACACCCAGACAGAGTCACTACCCTTCTTTGAACCTCCCTGCCTCCCTCTGTGCAATGAGGGCAAAACATATGCACACAGTTGTTCAACAGCTGTTCATTGAGCATCTCCTCTGTGCCAGACACATAGTTCTAGGTGCTTGGGACACACGAACAAACTAGAGACCTCAGTCATCACTGGGGTTACATTTTAGAAGGAAGAAACAGACAATAAGCGTATTAAAGAATTTATATAGTGTGTTAGAAGGGCTAAGGAAAGCATAGAGCAGGATAAAGGAGACCAAGAGTGCTGGGGCAGGAGGGGGTTACAGAGGAGCGTCTCACAGTCTAAATGTCTTGAGACCTCTGGAGACTTTAACCATTATTTTTCAGAGCCAGAAGACGAAATCCACTTGGAGGCTCAGCTCACAGATGGCTGTAAGTCTCATGCTGATATCCTTTAGAGTAAGTTGGTGTTAGTAAAAGACTGTCCAGTAAATGATGAATTCTCTATCTGAGGAAGAAGTGGAGCAAAGACTATCCCTCCTGGTGTTGACTTTAATCCTTCCTGCTGCACTAATTGGTCAAGACCCGGGGGTCCAGAAACGTTTGAAGAGCACTTCATACTGAGTAGTCATTGGAGATGGGAGTGGGGACTACACCTCATACTCAAGTGAGTTTCAGCTCACCCTGGTATGAAGATGCTGGAGGAGCTCATCCCCACTCCCACAGCCCAAAAGCCATGAATATTGCAGCATTCTGCTTTGTGGGTTATCTGTAAACATGGTTTAGTCTCAGGTTAGCTTCCCCCAATTTACCTGGGACAGCCAGGGAAGGCAGACTCAAGCAATACCCAGAATTCGAAGGAAAAGAACCAATATTTACGGAACCCCTCCTATGCACCAGACAATGGGTCAATTGTTTGCGTAATCTCTTTTAATTGAGAAGGTGAATTTGCTAGAAGTGGAATTCCGATTCAGTGGCATTCAGAATCAGGGATGTGCCTTTCAGGTGCACATAGATTCTTGTATGGGATTCAGTCCTGGTCTACACTAACTGGGCAACGACTCTACCCTGATACCCCCCACATATTAAGGGATATGACATATCGCTACCTCTTACCATGAGCTCTTCCCTGCCTCCCTCCATCTCCCTGATCCCAGGTGCCCAGCTCATCCCAAGCAGCCACCCCAGGAAGGACATTGTCTTTTTAAGGAGACTTCCAACTCGAGAGAAAAGCTAGAAAAGCAGAGAAAGTTTCCAAAAAGGATGCTGTGATCAAATCTACCAGGAGAACAAAGAATCAAAAGCCTGAACTGCTTCACCTCACACCCCAGGAGGACAATTTCAGGAACGCTGCCCTTCAATTCGAAGAGACTACAGAACTCACTCCCAGGGCTGGTAGGAGCCAGGGAAGAGGGGAAGAGGCTGGGAAGGCATTAAGCAGAAAAGGGCTGGGGCTGGACACTACCTCCGCGGGGCAGGGGGGTGGGGGAGTTGCGGGGGGAATAGTTGGGGTTATAAAGAGAAAGGAAGCTACAGGGGAAACAAGAATTCAAGGTAAAAGAGATTCAACAGATCCAGTGTTGCCTATGCCAGCCCTGTGGGAGGTCATTGCTGGAGCATGGGGGAACGTGGGGCACTAACTTGACTCTGACATTTCTCTCACAACATTCCCCAGCAACCACCTCGGAGGGAAAACTGGCCAAGCTTGGCCATAAAATCGGGATGAGTCTGGACAAAACAATGAAAGAAACCACGAACTATCTGAAAAGCCTACTCCCTCGTGCCCACGAAGTCATGAAGCCCTAATGATGAGGAAGCCCACATCCCGGGCTGGGCCACGGCAGGTTCCTACAGCACCGGCACTCCGCTGGCCCCGACCACCATCTCTCGGCCCTTCACATTCCTTATTAAAGCGTTGCATCCCAAGCCTGACTCTGTGGTGGCTTTGCTGGGCCAGGAAGGAAGGCTGGAGGCCCCCTCGCGTACCCCATCCCTTTGATTTTAAATCTCTCCTCCCGCTCAGCTTAAAAACCTGTGCAAGTCTCCACACCCCAAAATACCCTTTGTGAAGTCTTGGCCCTCCAGGCTGCCCTCGCCCTTCCTCACCCCCACTCACTCCTCATTCCCCTGCAGCTGCCTGTGTGTGCCTCCAGCCTGCCGCCACTGCTCTCCCAAAGGTCACCAACAACCACGACCCCCAGGACTGTTTCCCCATCCAGACTCCCCTCACTGTCTCTGTAGAATTGCCAATTACCCCTTCTAGAAAGTTCCTCCTCACTGACCTTCCATGAAGCTGCCTCTCCTGGTTCTCTGAGCTCCCTGTTCCTTCCCTGGCACATTTCCTGACTGTTCACTCTCTGCTCCCAGGATCCCCTCCTGGGCCCTCTTGTCTTCTCTCCACCTTTTTCCTCTACATCCTCATCTGCCAAGAATTCTGCTTCACCTCAGGGTGAATGACTCCCATTTACCCACTCAATAAACATCCACCAGGTGCTGAGTGTGTGCCAGTCTCGTCTACCTAATACATGCCAACCTTTCCCCAGCCCTGGTCAGTGTTCCCTGTAAAGGCATATGGGACTCAACGGGGGAAGAAGAGAATGGGAAATAAAAATCTCTTTCTGTCTTGCAAATGGAGGGAAGGCTGTGCATTCAAAGGCAGAGGGGGTGGCAGGAAGGAAGCAGTCTCTGATCTCTATTGTTCTACCCCCAGGACCTATAAAAAGATGTGCTCAGAAGATCAACTGAGTGACCAACCTACTGCAACGCAGGGCTGGTGCTGGCCTGGCCCAGGAAACCCTGGAAGTGTGTCCAGAGCTGGAGACAGATAAATAATCTCCTTCCTCCCTTTGCTTTCTCCTGATCTAGAAAGTTGCCACCTGCCCACTTCCTCTAGTTTACCCTCCCTCCCCTCTAATACAAGGACACACTCACAACTCCACAAAAACGTCTCCCAGCTTAGATGGAAAGTTCGATCATGGGTCCTTCTCAAGCGGTAGCTTGAGACAAGGCAAAAATTCTTGCCAAAATGACAGAGGAGAGTGGTGGGAGATTACGGAGTTCAGGAAGGAATTGGGGGGAAGTTTCCTGAGATTAGATTAGGAAAATTGAAGTGTCTTGGAGACTAAAGGCCCTAGACCTGTCCTTCTGACCCTCCAGTTCAGACCAACACAGAAAATGACGTGAGGGTCTTTACCTAACAGGGATCAAAGCAAAGTATCCTCTTTACTAATGGCTGAACAGCCGTGCTATAAACTCAAAATGCAGGGCTCTCTGTTAAAGCCGGACAGGAAACCTCAGGCCAAAGGGGCCCTCTACTCTTGTCCTGTCCCTCCATCCCTACCCCCACCCCTGTCTGATTCATGGACTGAACAGATTCAGGGCTGGGGAAGCCGCTGTCAGCCTCTCACCCACCCATAAGATCATCTACTCTTCCCCTAAAAGAGAGTAAGCAAGGAATGGAAAGGTAGGCTGGAAAGTCTCCCTCCCACCTGCTCCTCTTGTGGGGAGGGGAACATCTAAAAGGGAAAGCCCCCAATACAGAGTGGCCTTCTCTTTTCTCAACCCTTTGAGCTTCACAGGTCAGCGGTGAGCTGCGATCAACCACAGGTGTGGCTGGAGGGACAGCGGAGAGAAGCAGTGCAGCAGAGCAGCCTCCCACTTCACAGATACTTGGCCATTTGGACCTACAAAAGTGGCCCAGAATAAGGCCCATGGGTTTTTATAGCTCCTATTATGTGGCAGGAGGAAATAAGAGATAGATTACCAAATAGGAAATGTGGAAATAGGTTTCCAAATGCTTTACACATATTCACTCATTTAATCCTTGCAAAAAACAAAATATTTATCTGCATTTTCAGATGAAGAAAATGAAGTAACAGATTCTCACCACATCCTCCTGGAATCAGTGGGATGGCCACTTTACTCTGAATTGCGTCTAAATAGGACACAAATTAATTCCAAGACTGTACTGTGCCCTAAACTGTTTTTCTCGCCAATCAGCTCACTCACATTGCTCGGTACAGCTCACTTGCAGGTTACAGGATAAGCACTGGTAGCATAAAATATCAATAATTCAACACTAGCAGCAAAAAAATGCCCTAAATTTGAACATAAACCCCTCCTAATTTCAAAAGTGGCAAAGGACAAAATTTAAACACACTGCCTTTTAAATTAAAATGCAAGGAAATAAAAGTCTGAAATTCTTCCCTTCCCAATTTCTTTTTTTTTTTTTTTTGTGAGGCGATTAGCCCTGTGCCAACATCTGCCAATCCTCCTCTTTTTTTGCTGGGGAAGACTGGCCCTGGGCTAACATCCATGCCCATCTTCCTCCACTTTATATGAGACGCCACCACAATATGGCTCGCCAAGCGGTGCATCGGTGCGCGCCCAGGATCTGAACCGGCGAACCCCCAGCCGCAGCAGCGGAGCACTCGCACTTAACCACTTGCGCCACTGGGCTGGCCCCCCCTTCCCAATTTCTTATTCTGCTCTTTCCTAGCCAGGAGGTCTCACTCCACAGGAATCTAACTTTGTCCATTTGCCTAGACATCCCCATTCCTAAAGAATACCCATTTCCGAGGGCCTGCCTGGTGGCATAGTGGTTAAGTTTGCCTGCTCTGCTCTGGCAGCCTGAGGTTCTCGGGTTCAGATCCCAGGCGCGGACCTACACATCACTCATCAAGCCAGGCTATGGCGGCACCTCACGTACGAAAAAAAACAGAGGAAGATTGGCACAGATGGTAGCTCAATGACAATCTTCCCCACCAAAAAAAAGAATATCCATTTCCCACAAGGTCAGTTCTCTATTTCCCCCAACCAGCTGCCAGGGCTCTGGCTGGGCCCCCCCACCTGAAACAACTCTGTGACCTCTTGGGATGGGCTGGAGAGAATGTTCTTTCTGTTACTCCAGCTGTTTGGCAGAAGGAGGTCTGGATGTGAAGGGAAAGGGGAGGCACACCCTCTCCCTGTAACTTCAGCTCCCCAGAGTGTGGACAGGGGTGAGGTACCTGCATCTCCACCCTCTCCCTGGTCTGGAGGGAGCCGCATCCAAGGTGTGACAGTAGGAGGGACTGGGTGAGACCTCAAACCTCCTGAGGATGAGGACGGTGGAGAGCCACCAGCAGGGGGAGCGTTCCCTTGGGGTCAGGAAAAAGGCTATTATGCCTGGGAGTGAGGAACTGGCTGCACCCTGATCTTTCCCCTCTGAAATGTGAGCAGTTCCTCCAGCACCTCCAAAGTTGACCTAATCCATCCCCAGGTAGCTCACAGTCCCTCTTTTTCAATGTCAGAGTAGCTAGGGCAGAATACCGTGGCACCAGCTCGGTACCAACAAACCTTAGAAACACAAGCGTATTCTCAGGCTTCAAGCAATTAAGTGCCCAGAACCTAGTGCACGGTGTTTTGTGGGGGTTTTGGGGGGAAGGGAGCAAAAAAAACCTTTAAAGAGGATTCAAGGTGCAAGAGAAAGATGTTGTGGAGGGGAGGGCCGGCACTCAGCCACAGCCGCCTCGCGTGCACGCTCCACAGACGTCCTCGAGTGCTGCTGCTGCTGCTGCTTGCGGATGAGCCTCTGTCATCCGCGCTCCTCCTGCCTGTCATCTTCAGTCAGCCGCTCTTGCAGAACAGGGGGCGGGAATTTGGCTCGCTTAGCTGGGGCAGAATGCAGTTGGAACAGAAGAGGTGATGGCAAGGCTTCTCAGTGACAGCCTCCTCCCGACACACGGGGGCCAGAATCAAGCTGCTAATGCCAGCAACGCGCCACGCAGAAACTTAGCGGTACTGAGAGAAGAGAGACGAGAGAAGACCTTGACTCACCTCCCCAGGATGCGCTCAGTCTGCACCAGCTCTTTGGAGTTCCCAGCACGTGAACTTAAATCTCAGTTGAGAGAAACCTCCCACAGAGAGGTTAATTTGGGCATTAAGTTTACCAGTAGAGGGTTGGGGGGCATGCCTACTGTCTCTTCTCTCAAACTGAGGCATTTAAGACATTTATGTCATCTTGTGATATTTAGAAATTTAAAATAATGCTCCCAATAGTCCCAATTTAACTCAGATGTGACTAGATCTATTTCTCTCTTGCATGAATTCCGCTTAGTGTGTGTTTCGTCTTCTCAGTAACTACATGGAGGTTCCTGCCTCTGCAGATTCCTGGGCATAGTCCCTCAGGGCGTGGGCAATACCTCTCCCCACCCCAAATAACTGTGTCCCTTCAAAACTTACCCAACAATACTCACCGTATACGTCACTAAATCTCCTGGGCTTTTCATCCCTCACACTAAGCAAGTAACTGTCTCCACTGGTTTCCTGGGTCCACGCTCCCTCTAGCGGCCTCTCTCAGCTTTGCATCGTTGTTAAATCCAGGCCCCATTCATCCTCCCTGATCTAGAAATGAATAAATGTTCAGCCCTTTTCCAGTTCTGTCCTTAAAAGCATTTAGATTTGGAAACATTTCCTTTTTCTTTTATATATTTCAAGCATGGCCTCTAAAACTCTACCTTTCTCCCAAGAAAATCTTGTCTCTTCCCCAAGCTCAATGAACAGAACTTCTTTCTTCTTTCCCTTTCTTGCTGACTTTTCTCACTACAAGACCAAGACTTGTGTCTTCCACGGACCCCAGGTCTCCTTGATTCCCTGAATAAGTCTGATTTCTAGAGACAGGGTGTTCCAGGTACAAGACTTCTTCATTTTTCTCTTATCCTTCAGGTTTATAACAATTCCATTGAGGTTTTCTCCACTTTCACCCACGTTGGCATTGCCTCCATATAAGGGGTCCTGGTCCTTTTTATCTGTATAAAGTCCAACACACC